AAAAATTTAATTAGAAGCAAAACACAATGTGAAAGAGTTATGAACACCCCAAAGGGCAAGGTAAATCCCTTGTGGAATTTAACAATACCCCACATACCTGTTTTATTATCTTGCATTTTTCTAAAAAGTGACTAAGGGCTGGAGGTGTAGATCAGTGGTAGAGTGCTTGCCTAACACATGTGAGGCCCTGGGTTCAATTCCCAGCATGGAAAGTTTTTTTTTTAACAAAAATGTTATTAAATCTTCCTTGTCCCTTGTATCTTATGGTTCTAGTATTATGTGTTATTGAACAAATTAGAGATGATAAGGCACAGTGTAATAAGTAAGTTGCGCTGAAGTTTATAAATATAAAATAAGCATATGGCTATAAAATAAGACTTTCCTACATCTTACAATGAGTACTTTTTTATATCCATGTAACTTAGATACTACAAGATGAACTTTTCACTCACTTGTTGTACAATTATTGTGTAAAAATGGCATAGTGTTGAAGAAGATACTAAGTAGTAGGCACAACTTTTGGCTTTTTTTTTTTTTTTTTATAGCTGAAGGCCTTTTTGTACCTCAATAACTAGGTATGTCCCAAGACCCTTGAGCCAGCACAGGTGACATGAATGGAGAGGAGTTCCAACATGATGTGAGCACCCAGCCCTTGCCAATCAACTTTTTCAGACTATAATCTTCATGGAGGCCACAACCCACATGAAGCGAAGCCACGATGCCACTACCTCCTCCTGAGAGCCTCCAGGACAAGGAACAAGCGGGAGCAGAGAAGGTGGAATTTCAGGAGAACCAAGGGTTCCCATGCTCCTGAAGACTCTCAAGATCATCCACCCTTATGCCTATTTTCCTCTTCACCATCGGAAGCATAAGCCCTCCCAACGTTCTTCTCTCATATTTCATCCCCTTAATACTCTGTCACCCTCCTTCCCTCCCACACGCTCTCATCACAACACTTTGGACTTCTGTGACCAATGCACTTTGTCTAAGTAGATTATGCTCATCTGAAGGGGCCCTATTCAAGCGTCGCAGTCTTTAAGACGGCTTTTCCGACCTTTCAAGCTGGGCCCCATCTTGCCTGCAGAAGCTGTTATTACTCGTCCTCTTACCTCACACCGCTTATCACACTGAACATTACTGTCAAAGCCTTCATTTCTCATTTACATTGTGAGGGTAGGAACTAAGTCTTACTCTGTCATGTCACCAGAATTGAAATGGCCACTGGCACAGAACAGTAATTCAATCAACAATCATGGAACAGAAGAAAAAGAGAGAGGGAAGCTAGCAAAAAAAGAAATGCCTTCCCAAGTTAGAGCCCTGAACATTCTTTCCAGGAGAAGCATTCTGATCATGTGATGTTGGCTACACCCCAACTAGAGCATAGGTGATAAGACTTTCTATAGCTGGCCTGAACCCTAACACCTTATCTCATTTCTGAGGAATAAAATGTGCTAAAAGTTCCAAACACACATTGGTAAATAAGTACATTTGTAAGTTGACCTTTTGCTTTGGGCTACAACATTAATCTTGCAGATTGTCTAGTGCTTTCGAACGTCTGGAGCCCTTTTATATCAATTGTCTAAACTGACCTGCATGATAGCCCTCTGATATCATTATCCCAACTTGACATACACTCTCTTAGCATGGATGTTCTAAGCCTTATACTAGGTACTGGGGACCCAAAAGAAAGATTCCTGTTTTCTTTTCCCAGCAGTCACAATCTAAACACACAGGGAAGATTCCTAACCCCATTTGCACATACGTTTGTGACTTACCTGGGGATTAGACAGTTATGAGTAACAGTACTTGAACACTGCACTGTGAGGTTTCCCAGTAGATAAACTTCTGGATGCTACATTATATAGATTAGGTACAAGCTAAATTAAGGTGACAGCAGTCCCTCTAAGTTGTAGTCCTTTAAATTTATTTATTGTTTATTTTTATTTTTAGTTATAGATGGACAGAATGCCTTTATTTTATTTGTTTATTTTTACATGGTGCTGAGGGTCAAACCCAGTGCCTCATATATGCTAGGCAAGTGCTCTGCCACTGAGCTACAGCCCCAGCCTCTAAATTTCTTTTTTTTTTTTTTTCTTTTTTGATGCTATTGGGGATTGAACCCAGGGGTGCTTTACCACAAAGCTACACCACAGCTCTTTTTATTTTCTATTTTGAGGCAGGGTCTCTCCAAGTTGCCAAGGCTAGCCACCACATCTGACTAAAAAATAAAATAAAATAAAATCTTATATATATCTTATCATCCAGGGCAGTGGCACACACTACTGTGATCCCAGCTACTTGGGAGGCTAAGGCAGAAGGATCACAAGTTCCGGGTCACCCTCAGCAACTCTGAAACACCCTGTCTAGAAATAAAAAATAAAAAGGGCTGTGGATGTAGCTCAGTGGTAAAGCACTCCTGGGTTCAATTCCCAGTAAACCCCGACCCCCAAATTTTATGTATCCTTCTGTGTTTTAGGATAGGTCTAGACTCAAATGAATACCTGTTTTACTTGAGACAGATGCTGATGGGTGGAGGCGGTCTTGGAAGTTCAGGGAGTGTTGCTAGTTGAACTATATTGAAGCCTAAGGGCAAGTTGTGTGGGATGAAAGGAGAATCCTTGTGGTACCAGGGAAAGCAAGTCAACTTCTCTCCTTTTCTCAGACTTGCAAGGAGCTGGAGCTACACAGTTCACCACTGAAGGGTCCCTGCACTTTCTCCCTTAGCAAAGAGCTATAGGGCTTTGTGCCATAGTGGACCTTGGCTCTCCTCTTTCCTCCGGCCAGTTGCCCAGGCCAGAGGCACCATCATTTACGTGAAGGTTTCTGCTTTCCCCAAATGCCCTGAGAACCCATGGGAGATCCGGGAGACCTACTTGAGAGTTCAGAGTTGAGAGTGGTCCCTGGGAATTGTCCAGAGGTATCTGGAGCCAAATCTGCTGAGGAGGAAGCCACAGCTCCACTCAGTGTGACTCTGGGCTTTTGTCCACAGGGTCAGAACTGCCTAATGACTCTGACCCAAGACTGCCAAAGAAAGGGTTCTCCTGATCTCAGAACTGGTGTAGGGGCAAGAGCCCTGAATGGCCGGAGAGGCGGAAGGAAGGGGAGATTGGATGACCTCAGGGCATGGGAGTGGATGATGTGGTCATAGCCCTGTTGCTCAGCATTATCAGCTTCTTCAGATTTGGGCTTGATACTAGGTCATGAAAGCATAGGGACTTTGGAAGCAATCTGTCTGGGTTCAATTTCCATCCTGTGTATGTGACTAGTTAGCTATTCAACCCTAGGCAGATGACTTAGTTTCTCAGGTCTCAACTTCCTCATCTATGAAGAAAATATTAAAATATGGGTGCTTTATATAAGAATTAAGTACAACTCTCCATGTATTCTGTAAATGTTTATTAAATGCCCACTCTATGCCAGGGGATTTTCTGAGCAGTCGTGATTAAGCAATGAACAAAACAGACAAAAGTCCCTAAAATCCCCACCTTCATTAAGTTCATACCATTTCCACTTACTACAATAAACAATTAATATTGCTGGTTATCTTTAGAAGTTGTAAACCAGAGGAAGGTGGACTGCTATTTTATGTAAGGTAGTCATAGACTGTCTGAGGGGATGAAATCTGAACAGAGAACGAAAGATGGAGAGACGACAGATGCTAAAGCTCCTGCACAATGCCTGGCATGGCATAGGCACAGTGTTTCTTCATGACCATCATCACAATGTCACAATTATTGTTCACATTATTAGTTGCCCAGAAAAATGTCTTAAAAAGAACTGATAGAGACAATTCAAAGTATTAAGATTACTACTCCAGGGGCTGGGGATGTGGCTCAAGCGGTAGCGCGCTCGCCTGGCATGCGTGCGGCCCGGGTTCGATCCTCAGCACCACATACAGACAAAAAATGTTGTGTCCGCCGAAAACTAAAAAATAAATATTAAAAAAAAAAATTTTAAAAAAATATAAAGGATATGATTACTACTCCAGCAAGGAGTAATAATTATATCCTTAAAATTATGGCCTTTGCCAGTAAAAGGACAAAACCGGAAAATATCATGCTAAGTGAAATAAGTCAGTCTCCCAAACCCAAAGGCCGAATGCTCTCTGATATGTGGATGTTAACCCACAACAAGAGAGGGGAAGGAGGGGAAGAAAAGAAGTTCATTGGATTAGACAAAGGGGAATGAAGGGAAGGGAGGAGATGGGAATAGGAAAGAGAGTAGAATGAATCAGACATAACTTTCCTATGCTCATATATGAATACACGACCAGTGTAATTCTATATCATGTACAACTACAAGAATGGGATCCTAATAAGTTATACTGCATGTATAACTTGACATATTGTAATATGTCAAAATACACTTCACTGTCATGTATATCTAAAAAGAATTTAAAATTTTTTTAAAGTATCTTTCTTGAATAAATAGAACTGTAGACCAAAAAAAAAAAAAAAAGTATCAAATGTTGCAGGTAATTGCGAATTCGAATTTGTGTGTGAGTGTGTGTGTGTGTGTGTGTGTGTGTGTATGTGTATGTCTGTGTGAGATAACTGGGTGTTGAACCCAGGGGCACTTTTCCATTGAGTTACATCCCCAGCCATTTTTATTTTTTATTTTGAGACAGGGTCTCACTAAATTACTGAGGCTACTCTCAAACTTTTGATCCTCCTGCCTTAGCCTCCCAGGTGGCTGGAATCATAGGTGGGCGCCACTGTGCCCAGCTGAAAAGATATATTTAAAGTATGCACCAGCCTGGCTATCCAAAGTTTCCAAAACTAAAATAAGTAGGTAATTCAAGGTGTTATTGAGCTAGTTCAAGAAATTTTAAGCTATATCAGAAGTAATTACTTTTCCAGATTAAGTATGACATTGGATAAATCTCTTACCATTCTAGACCTTCTATTTACCTTCTATTTTAGCGCTTGTAGAATAAAGCTACTATTATCTAGAATCTCTTCTTAATAAAAAAAAATTTGTGACCGACAATAATTACTTACTCAATGGAGACAATGACAGCATTCAGTTCCTCAGCCATCACTGTGCACAGCTCATCATAATACTTGATTTCTAAAAGAGACAAAGGGGTAATCACTATAAAATGGGTCATTTAATACTCATAAATTTTGCTAAGCACAAATTATTTTTAGACATGGAGTTCATTTAATAATAAAAACAAATAATAAACAGTGAATGTGAACAAATGTCTTCTTATTGGAATTATATGTAAAAATGCAGAAATCAAATTTGGTTTCTGACAAAATGCAATTATAATAATAAATAACAGGAAATCCATATTAGATTAATCTTGAATATGTTTTTAACTAAACATTTATTTCATAACAGGCAATAGGAAATACAGCAAATTAATTCTTACTTTGCAACTTTTCAAAATGTATACCTACCAAAATTTTTTTTTAAAAATCACAGTGAATAAGCAGTTTCCTCCTTAGACTCATGAATTTTTGCTCTTTTAACATGCTCATTTGTTGTGATTCAGAAACATTATCAATTTGAGCGATGTGTTCTTCTCCTTAAACCAACAAGTAAGGAATAAAATTTTAGAAAGTCCTAGCATTTCTTAGAAGGAAGACCCAAAAGTCTTAAGGGACAGAGGCAATTTTAATATGTAAGAATTTAATATTTAATCCCTTAATTGTTCTTGCAATAAATTAAGATCTATATTGTGCAAAAAGAGAGCCTAATATTTCCTATTTCTTTCTTTTTTTTCTTTTTTTGGTCCCAGGGATTGAACCCAGGACTTCTTTTTTTTAAAAAAAAAAAAAAAACATTTATTTATTTTTTTAGTTATCGGCAGACACAACATCTTTGTTGGTATGTGGTGCTGAGGATCGAACCCGGGCCTCACGCATGCCAGACGAGCGCGCTACCGCTTGAGCCACATCCCTAGCCCTGAACCCAGGATTTCTTGATCACTTTGAACTCACCACCCTCCTGACTTAGCCTCCTAAACCACTGGGATTACAAGCGTGTGCCACTGCGCCTGGCTTAATATTTCTTTATCTATGGCCTTTTCAAGGCAGCCTTAGAACCAGAAGTTTATGAGTGACATATCCGCCTGTATACCTCCACCAATCCCACTTCTTTTTTCAGCAGTCATGATTAATGAAAATTATACAGAGAAGTTCTGATCAACTCTTGTAATCCATGCCATTCCTGGCACCTACACTTCCTATCTTTCAATGAGATATCTCATTTGGCAAGTGTCCGTGCTACAGACTCAGACTTTTCTGAGGCAGAGATTCTGTCTTATTCATTTTTGTATCCCTACCCCCAGCACACAGGCTGACCATTGGTCCACGTTTGCCCAAAACTTTGAGTTTTTGCACTGAAAGTCCTACATGCCAGGAAGCCCTTCAGTCTTGATTAAGTCTTGATTAAGCTCATATACTTGGTGAATAAAAGGATAAAGGATGGGCTGGCATGGTAGCACCAGTGACTAGGGAGCTAAGGCAGGAGGATCTCAAGTTCAAGGCTGGCCTAGGCAATTTTGTGAGACCTTGTCTCAAAATAAAAAATGAAAGGGCTAGGAATATAGTTCAGTGGTAGAGTGCCTCTGGGTTCAATGCTCAGTACCACAAAATAAAATAATAAAAATAAAGAGTACACAATGCACACACTTGAAATCCCAACAGTTTGGAAGACTGAGGCAGTAGTATTGCAAGTTCAAAGGTAGCCTTGGCAACTTAGTGAAATGCTATCCGCCGCCCCCCCTCCCCCAAAAAAAAAAGGTCTAGGAATGTGGCTCAGTGGTTAGGCATCCCTGGTTCAATCCTGGTACCAAAACAAGAAAAAGAAAAGGAATAAATGATAAATATAAAGCTAAATAAAATAGGATTTCTAGAGACATTTATAGTTTCTGACCTTGTCTTCATTTAAAAATATATATAATAGCAAAATAAAAAAACAGGACAAGTTACCATTGCCTTTCTTTCTTTCTTTCTTTCTTTCTCTTTCTCTCTCTCTCTCTCTCTCTCTCTCTTTCTTTCTTTCTTTCTTTCTCTCTTTCTTTCTTTCTTTTACTAGGGATCAAACCCAAGGTCTCATGCATGCTAGGCAAGTGCTCAGCCACTGTGCCACAAACCCAGTCCTGCTACTGCCTTTAAATAGAGGGAAGGCCAAAAGTTCTGTGCTAAAGATGAGGAAGTAGCTCCATAGTCTCCTCAGGCAGAGCAAAGGCCTTGACTTCCTCTGAGGCAGGCTTTTTCCTGGTTGCTTTGCTTTGCTGTCTGCCATTTAAACCCATAACATTACTACTCATGAAAGAGATCCAACTCTATAAAAAATGTTCTTGAACTTGGGGAAATTACTTCCTTTAATGGTTGCATACCTTTTATATTTTAATCTTTGGTTTCCTAAGTGGATAAGATATTGCTAAGATAATAACATGTACATTAAGAAATATCTGCTCTATTTCATAGAAAGACAAAAGTGTTAAGTTGGCAAAAGAGCTATAGATAATTCCCCTCATATTCTGGCACAGTGAAACTTCACCTTGTTTTGGTATAAAAAGCTATCATCGACACTTCATAAGAAGTTGATTGATGATTTAGATCAGAAGAAAAAATGTTTTCAAAACAGCCTGTATGCATTAAGAAGCAAACCTACAAGCAAAAAAAAAAAAAAAACCTTTATATACAATAATCATGTAATTTATCATTCAAACAAAGATCTCCCCCTTTCTTCCTTTCTTTCTATCTTTTTGGTAGGAAGAGATACTAGGGATTGAAACCAGGGGCTTTACCACTGAGCTACAACCCAGTTCCTTTTATTTTTTATTTTGAGACAGGGTCTCACTAAATTGCTAAGGGCTTAGCTAAATTGCTGAGGCTGGCCTTGAGCTTGCAATCCTCCTCCATCAGCTTCCTAATCACTTACAGACATGCACCACCATGCCAATAAACCAGAAAACTTTTAAGTGAAAAAGCAGGCACTACTAATAATTTAATTTGCCCAGAGATAAATGGGATGGTCCAGGAGAAGAAGACAAATGGTTCCCTTCTTCTTACCCCTGAAGAAAGACAAACTCAACCACATTACTCTCCAGGGCCAACCACAATTCCAAGCAATCCGAGGGTGACCCAGACGTACTTGCACTGGCCAAGGCCCAGCCTCCTCCGTGGATATAAACAACACTGCGTCTCATCAGCTCCTGTGGCTTTGGAGAGGCTTCAAACACTCTGACTTCCACCCCGTCAAAGTCAGTGTCAGTCACATTCACTTGGGCAGAAGACCATGCACTTTTCTTTCCGAAAGAAACGATGATAAAATTCAGTGCAATCAAGTGATGGCTCAGTCCCAGGGAGTGTATAAGGTGACTCTGCAGGAAGAAAATAAAGAGACTCAGAACTAGGATTTGTAAATTCTAGGATTCAGTTTTTTTTTTTTTTTAATTTTGCTTCCTAAATAAGCATGTCACAGTTCCAATAATATACTAGGAGTGGAAGAATAATATGTTAAATGCAAATAAAAGAGAAGAAAGTTTAATATTTACTTAAAGTATTTTTAAAGTGCTTCAAAGCTTATATACTTAGGTGTGTCTGGTTGTTTTCAGAGCAGGAGAAAGGAATGAGTGTGCCAGAGAAAAGGAACAAGGTTAGCTGAGGTCCTGGATTTAGAAGCAGACCAGCTCAGACATAACCAGGAGCTTTTCAGAAAAGTGCAAAGAACATACAGACCCCTGAAACCATGGAGGCTGCACTAGTAGTCACAGGAAGTTACCTGGTTGCAGTGATTCAGAGAAACAAGAGGCCTAAGAAACCCACAAAGCAAAGACCCTGCAGGGTTTCTTTCCCTTTTTCCACTTCTTCAAGGTCTCAGGAAGGGGCCCAGCTGGAGAGTGACAGTGATCATTAGATAAATTATTAATGCCACTGTAAGATCAAGGGAGCAGTGTTAGCAGAAATCAGGACTACGTGATGCCTGCAACACACCATAACACAGCTTTCCAGTCCTTGTTGGGGGCACACTGGTGTGCCTTGAGGAGGAACAGGTGGGTCTCGATACACACAGGACAGCCACACTCCTGAGCCATTTACCCCAGTGTCCCATATAAATACTATCACTGTAGATATATGGATGTCTCGTCATGAAAAGGACTGGAAAACACAGCATTATAAAACCATTAGCCAATATTCATGGAAAACAAGAACAAGGCAATTAATCTAAGAAAGAACAGCTATTTCAGGAATCCTGTTATTCATTTGCTGGCAAGTATAAACGGTAGCAGAGCAACCGAGTATTAATAAAATAATCCAATTTCTATATGATTACAGGCTTGAATTGCTGGGATTACAGGTGTGTGCCACTGCACCCAGCAACTTATCTTTTAAAAACTTATTTATATGCTTGTATCTGAGGGAGGGGGAAAGCAGGTAAGGAATCAGTAGTATGATACTCCAGCCACATAAATAACTTAGCATGTGGTTAAATTTCAAAAGGGACCAACTACATTAAATACAGCATAAACTCTAACTCATGACTTATATTTCTCATATTCAATGATTTGGATTCTTTGTCAGTTGTTCTCCAGCATGGTCATTTCATTCTGTCAAACATCTTTTTAATTCTCCTCTCCAGATTCTGCTATAAATTGTGCCAAGTTATAGAAAAAAATCTATAATCTTGTGGAACATTTATTTTTCTGTATTAAAATCTGTGAACATGGATACACACACACACACACACATACACACACATACACACATGCACATATACATCATTATTATTAGTAGGAGTAATAATAGTACTGAGGATTGAATCTAGGGGTATTTCCTTTTTATTTTTATTCTGAAAGTTGCTGAGGCTGGCATCAAATTTACAATCCTCTTGTCTTAGCCTCCCAAACCACTGGGGTTACAGACATGCACTACTACACTTGGCTATGGTTATATTTTTAAAATACTATATAAGTTTGAGTATACTTTTAAAATGCATACTTAATATATTTTTATAGGCAGGCATGGATTTATTAGACAGGATAGGGAGAGGGAGAAAAGGAACATACTCAAGGGAGAATAGGTCCCTCTCAGAAAAGAGAGGGACAATGCACTCTCCTGACCTGTTTTATTGGAGTATCACGGAAGTTTCCAAAGAGCTCTGCCCAGTTTCACCTCTTGACTTTTGACTAGCAGCAGGATTGCATCAGACTTTGAAGTCCCCACTGATTATGGTCTTACCTTTTTTTTGTGTGTGTGGTGCTGAACATTGAACCCAGGGTCTTACTTCTGGAAAGGGACATTTTACTATTACAATGACATGCTAAAGATCCAAAGCAACTCTGGGTCACTGTGGCCCACATTAGAAGGTTCTAATTGGAGCCTGTTCTTACAGACTTGCTTTGCTTCTAAGGTTCCTGTCTCCCTGAGTCCTGGAATCTGTCTGGGTAAAGGTCACAAAAGTCCCACCTCCACCACTTCAAGGTAACTTGTTTTTTGTTTTTGTTTTTGTTTTTAATCAGCAGGGAGGAACCTGTTGGGCCTGCATTTCTCCCTCAGATAACAGGCTGTTTGCTGGGCAGTGTAGCATATCTTATTGACTTAAGCCAGTTAAGGCTACTCTAGCCTCAAACAAATTGCATGTGGGGTTCAGTCTATAAAATTATCCTTTTAACCTCCTTTTTCTACTGTTCAGTTCTGTTTGTTACCTATCATTTACCCTATCAACGACTTGGGTCCCTAAATTCTTTTAGGGTATTTGGGTAAAGATTCAATGTAGTTGCTTCCTGCTGAGAGAGGGTGGTATTCAGGGTAAGGGAACCCGAAGTCCTTGCTGTCTCAGTTAAGGGTATTTAGCATCAGGGAGATCCAGAGGTCCATGGTGGCAGTTGGCAGGCAACTAAACAAGGTGTAGACAGGGCAGGGATCATGCATTAATTTGATTAGAGTCCCCACATATTTGAGCCTTGAGTGAGGTCCTTCAACATTCTACTGGTCTGAAGATAAAAATGAGAAGGTGAGAGGAAGAGAAAGTGGTCTTTTTACCCTGGTGGGTACTGGCATTCAGAGACTTATAATCACTGATCTTTGCATTCCATTGGAGTGTTGCTCTAGTTGGGAACTTTCAATTTCCAGTGGGCAAGACTTGCCCACAAAAACAACTAAAAAAGAAATTCCAGCCTCTTGCCCCAACGGGCCTTGGGGTGCCTAGGGTTAATCAAGAGACCTTTCAGTTTCACTAAAGTGTTGCCTTCAGAAACTAACAGTTGCCTTAAGATTTTCCTCCAGTCACCAAGAGCCTGAGATGTGAAAAGTTTAGAAAAGGCAGAATAAAGAAAGTAACCAGAAAAAAAGTCACCAAAGCAACCAGAGTTCATTGAGTGAAGAACACAAAACACTGAATGGCAAGGCAGTCTGCTGAGCCAGAGAGACCACGGAGGCCCTCCTCGATCTTCTGTTCTTTGCCATCACACTGCAAGGATTTCAGATGAATTGCTTAGGGCAGCAAGCATGAGTTTATTGAAGGGATAGAAAAATGGAAATGCTCTTGAGCGAGAAAGGGAAAGAGTGAACCCTCTCAGAGAAAAGAGGGACCTAAATGCAGTTTTATTTTTTGTTGTTATTGACACTCTACTTACAACTTGCACTTGAGACCACCATAGAGATCACCTAAGATTCACTAATGCAGAAAGAACTTTTGTTCTACACAGAGCCCCAGTCCTTACAGGAAGAAACTATTGGTTTGGATGTGGCTGGTCCCCCAAGGTTCATATGTTAGAGGCTTGAAGCTTGATCAGAGTGGTAATGTGAGAAATGGTGGGGGTTTAAGTGGCAGAGTCTTAGAGGGAGGTCCTTAGGGGGTGTGCCCTTGGAAGGAATTAAGGTAGTTCTTATGGGAACCTGAGATAGTTCTTGGGAGAGAATGAGTTGTTAGAAAAGCCTGAACCTGAACCCTGAACCACTCTCTGGCTTCCGGTTTAGCTACATGATTTCTTCCTTTCACATATACTCTGGCTATTGTGATACCAATCACCTTGAGGCCTTCAGCACAGGTAAGCTATCACTAGCAACATGCCCTTGAACCTCTAGAACAACAAGGCAAACAAACTTCTTACCATTATAAAATAGCCTGCCTTGGGTAATTTGTTACAGTAATAGAAAACAGACATGTACAATATATAACTGTAATTTGGCAAATATTAAATTAGATACCTACTAATGCTACATTTACAAGAATACAAATAAGGGTAAAAATGGACCAAGAACTTCAGTAGATAAGAATGTGTTCTGTCTAATTTTTTTTTCCTTTTCCCCAGATTCTATCTGTCCTTTAAACTTTCACATTTCTTTGAACTTCATCTGAGACTTTCAATTTTAAGGGAAATCCCATGATTTTAAAGTATAAGACTGAATGGGATAGTATACACCTGTGACTAAGGAGGCTAAGGCAGGAGGATTGCAAGTTTGAGGATAGCTTCAGCAACTTAGTGAGGCCTTGCCTCAAAATAGAAAAACAAAAAAGGCTGGGGATGTAGTAAAGCACCCTAGGTTCATCTCCAGAACCAAAAAAAAAAAAAGCATTGATTCAGATTAATAGTTTTAAAAGTTGCAGAACAAATAAAACATGTCTGCAGGCCAATATGGACTAAAAGTGTCTTTAGTTACAAATTCTAATATAGAGGATGATCCGTCTGACTAAATAACAGCTGACAAGAGAGTGGCAGATTAAATGCCACTTGCCACTGATGAAACAAAAGTGATCTTTGAATACTTCTCTTTCCTTTTTATTTTAAAATGAGTTTATGTTTGGGGATGAATTGCACAGTCAAGGTGACTAGTGACAGAAGAGATTGGAGGCAAAGGCAGCAGCTATGAGAATCTGGTGGAGTCTTAATACTCCCATGCTTAGGCATGTACTAGATTTTGTGTTCTTTCTCCAGCTGAGAGAATTTGGCAGCTGTCCACTGGAGAGCAATTGAAGGTCTGCCCTGAGGAAATACAGGGCAGGGAACATATGCAAGAGTGATCACAGAGGCACAGTTCACAGGCCTTGGCAACCGCTCACGGGCGAAGGAACTGGGATCAGGCAGGCTGGCTGGTGACACACACACACAGAAAGGACTCAAAGATACTGAAGGTTCTTTCCTGGGGAATGAGAAAGAGAACACAGGCAGAAGAATAGCAGAATCATTCTATTGAAAGCTAATGGGGCATTGAGGCAGATACATTCCAAATGGCAGTTAGCACATACAGGGTCAGAGATTCCAAGAGGTCAGAAGAGAAAAAGCGCTCGGCATTAATTATTAACAACTCAAAAACGTTCAGCAGAAGTCACAAGGAGACCTAACATGGGGTCAAGATACAGACTGTGGAGGAAAATATT